AAAAAAAAAAAAAAAAAAAAAAAAAAAAAAGCATTAAATTTGTGGGTGTATCCTCAAAATAATTTTTGTGGGTGTATATACAGGGAAAAACATACAGGGTTTTGCATACTATCCATAGTTTTGGGCATCCACTTGGGATACTGGAACACAACTCCCAACAATAATAAATTGTGACTCTCTAAAAGCCAGCTGAACCCTTCTGAGCCTGGATGGGATCCCGAAGATGCCTTCACTTTTGGGCCCCCCAGGTAATCACAGATGCCCAACAAGCCTCTGACTCTCACATACCCCAGCCACAAATACCAGCACACCACACCCACCCTACCACAGGAGACTCAGGTGGATTCTCTCACCTGCCTCTGAGGAGCTCCTGTACCCTTCGTGCCCTATCATCGGGGATGTGGCAGCTCTTGCTTATCCTAGACAGGAGCTTCATTTGTTTCTCAACTGGGCCGCTGTGCATCAAGTCTTCAATATTGGGTCAAATCTTTGTGAAGACACATGTGTTTCTCTTGGGTAAGCATCTAGGAGTAGAATTGCTGGGTCACTTGCTAAGCGTCTATGTAGCTTTATAAAAACAATCAAGTGTTCTCCAAAGCAGCTGTGCCAGTGTATGCACTCATCAGCCATATGAGTTTCCAATTGTTCTGCACCCTCACTAACACTTTGTATTTTAATTGTAGCCATTCAATCACTCATTCAATGCTACTGTAAGCCAGGTAGTGTGATACATAAGACTCAGTTCCTTCCTTTGTGATATCTTGATGAGAAATAAAATACATTCTTTTTATTTCATCACAGGCTAGGTTAGTGCTACGAAGGAGAAACAAACCAGCTGGACTGATAGAGGTCAAGTGCTCATAAAGAGGACTCTGTCTTACACGGGAATCACAGGATATATTTCCTGGAGAAGCAGACACGGTGTTGAGATTTGAAAGAGAAGCCAGACAATGGCAGGAATGGGAGGAATGTTCCAGGCAGGGGGATCAGCAGAAGCAAAGGCCCAGAGGTAGAGCCTGGGGGACCAAGGCTCAGGTCAGTGAGGGGGGCATGGTATGAAGGCAGAAGGGGACACCAGAGAGGCGGGCAGAGGTTAGATCAGGTCGGGAGTGGAAGGGGTTGGGGTATCACTTCAAGTGCGACAGGATGGAGCCAGCATGGAGACAGGGAGATGGGTTAGGTGGCCAGAGCCATCCAGGCCATGGGGATGAGGAGCCACCCACATGGACATCACCGGGGTCAAACACAGGGTTACAAGGCTGCGGAGCAGCAGAGGCCTCCCTGAGCAGCAGAGCCCCCAGCAATAAGCTCTCTGGGGAGCTCTTTCCCTCCTGCTGGGAATTCAGAGTGGCCACCTCTGTGGACCTGCTTCCTCGGCACGGCTGTAGAACCAGAGTCCCAGAGTCCCAGACCAGACCGAAGTTCAGAGAGGCAGCATAGGTGGATCCCGATAGAGAATTCAGGAATCGAGTCCCCTTCAAGAACCAAATAAAAGCTCTAGGTGTTCTTTCTTCAAATGCATGAGTGCATGGGAAATTTATACATGACTTTCAGGCCTTCAGAGATGTAGATTAAGACCTCCTGACCTAGTTGCTCTATCTACTGTGTTTTGCAAATATGGACATGGAGGCTATATTACCACCAGGAGGTAATGGATTTGCTTGAGGTCATCCAGTGACTGTCCTTCTCGTGAAACTGTGCCTGCCACCTCCTTTACAAACTGCCCAGAAAATGGCCATGACAACCACTCATTGATTACCCACAGCAGCTCCACATACTGAGTGGAGCCAGCACATAAAACTAAAGAAACCTCAGCTTCACAGCCTTGTCAATTAGGCTGGAGACCACTCTCTAGCTAAAAATACATGAGGCACTGCACTAATGATGATTTCTTGGCATTCTCCATACTTGGAGGCTTTTGAAGGGGTGTCTCAGGTGATCCAGTTCTCTTTGAGAGGTCTGTACTGCCTTGCTCGGAGGTCCAGCACAGGTCCAATAGGCACTGCTATTACTGGACACTTAGTGGGTGCCAAGGGCCACACTGAGTGCTTCACACGCACTTTCTCATTGGAGTCTGAAAGCAGCCCCCACTCCCAGCAGACGTTACTGTCTCTGAGTACTAGTCAAGAGGTGCTAATATCAAGTCTTGGTTTGCTAGGGCTGTGGGACAAAGCACTCCATCTGGGCGCTACGAACAGAA